ACTAGATGGTGTGAAGGTACTGGATCGGGTGATTCTACTAGATCCGGTGACTCTACTGGATTGGGTGATGGTACTATATCGGTTGACTCTACTCGATCGGGTGATGGTACAAGATCAGGTGATGGTACTGGATCGGGTGACTCTACTGGATCGGGTGACTACTGGATCGGGTGATGGTACTGGATCGGGTGATGGTACTAGATCAAGTGATTGTACTGGATCGGATGATGGTACTGGATCGGGTGACTCTTCTGGATCGGCTAATGGTACGAGATCGGGTGTTGGTACTAGATCGAGTGATGGTACTGGATTGGGAGACTCTGCTAGATCGGGTAGAAGTACTGGATCGGATGATGGTACTGGATCGGGTGACTCTTCTGGATCGTCTAATGGTACTGGATCGGGTGTTGGTACTAGATCGGGTGATGGTACTGGATCGGGAGATTCTACTAGATTGGGTATAAGTACTGGATCGGATGATGGTACTGGATTGGGTGATGGTACTGGATGGGGTGATGGTACTAGATCGGAGGGTTGTTGTGGATCGGGTGATGGTACTATATATAGTGATGGTACTGGATCGGGTGATGGTACTTGATAGAGTGATGACGCTGGATCGGGTGATGGTACTGGATCGGCTGAAGGTACTGGATCGGGTGTTGGTACTGGATCGGGTGACTCTACTGGATCGGGTGATGGTACAAGATCGGGTGATGGTACTAGATAGGGTGGTTGTAGTGGATCGGATGATGGTACTAGATCAAGTGATGGTACTGGATCGGATGATGGTACTGGATTGGGTGACTTTCCTGGATTGGGTGACTCTACTGGATTGGGTGATGGTACTGGATCGGGTGATGGTACTGGATAGGGTGACTCTCCTGGATTGGGTGATGGTACTGGATTGGGTGATGGTACTGGATTGGGTGATGGTACTGGATCGGGTGACTCTCCTGGATTGGGTGATGGTACTGGATTGGGTGATGGTACTGGATCGGGTGATGGTACTGGATCGGGTGATGGTATGATGGATGAAACTGGATCAGACTAATTAACAATCAAAAACTAAATGGGGTAATTAGCGAGTATTGTTTGATCATGGGGACCGCGTTCCTGATCCAGTGGTACAGCGTCTGCCCGGAGAACAGAAGGTCGGGAGTTCATACCAAAAGACGTTAAAAGATGGTACTTGTTGTTACCCTGCCTGACGCGCGGCATAAAGGGGCTAAGACAAGGACTGGTCGGCTACTGCGGCATGGTATATCCGGACTAGTATAAGCATCCACACGCGCACGTGCATCAACGTCACAATATAAGTGGAATAATCTTGAATGCGGCGTTAAACCCCATTTCGTCTCACCATCCTTGAAAATGAAACCTTCAATGTCTTATATAATATATCAAGTTTGGTATATAATTCATTTGTGTCTAAATTGTACACGTTCGTTTCACTTGAAACAGCTTGTCAATCCTTTGAAACCAAAGCTAGTACTTAGTTTGCTACTCACCACAGGCTCTTGGTAAAAGGAAGAAATTTCATGAGCGATATACATCTCTTAATTCGGCAGATACTGATTATTATGTGGGCTTGACGTTTTATATTTACTCAGTACAGAGTGACCTCGTAAGGATGGGAATCAATTGGCGCTAAAACGGGAACGATAGTCATGCAAACAGTAGCTTCATTTGGCATGAAACCTGTTGTGAATAATAAAACATCCCTGTACCTAACAATACACTAATGACGTCTGTATACCCCTGTGCTTCACTGCATAATTCATTATGCGTAAAGCGGATATAGATGGAAAAAACCCACTGTGAACAATGTTTTCCTGTGACATACATACAGATTGGAATGTAAGAGTTCATGTGATTTGCGATAAAACAGAGTTAAAGGTCGCGTTTCAAAACTAATGCATTTATGTCCATGCATGTGTGTGTGTGTGTGTGTGTGTGTGTGTGTGTGTGTGTGTGTGTGTGTGTGTGTTAATGCAACTTTTATAGTGCTAGCCCACTGAGATACATTGTTGCACTTTATAACAGTTTATACACATCAAGGTCCGAGCTATATCCTTATGAACAACACTTTTTTATGCCCCTAATGCCGGGTAACCAGAACTACCATCTTTTAACGTCAAACCACCGACCTTTGTAAGACACTCAGCCCACTGGAAAATGGGGGCGGTTATAGCCATATCGTATAATTAACGTAAACAGAATCCATAAACAACGAATTTGAAATGTTGTCCGATGTTTGTCGATTAAAAAACAGTGTGTCCATACAATGGTTAAACACGTCATAACAAACGACACACCACACCATTGAAAAGCAAAGTTATACTCATATTCTGTGACGTAGAGTAGGATGGAAGGAGACCAGTCACTGGGTCTACACACAGAATATGAAGCTACTTGGCCTACACATATACGCAGTGACAGTAGGATGACAGCAACTGTGTCAACACGCAGATGTAGAGTAGGATTGCGGGTACTGGTTACTATGTCTACACACAGATGTAGAGTAGGATTGCGGGTACTGGTCACTATGTCTACACACAGATGTAGAGTAGGATAGCGGGTACTGGTCACTATGTCTACACACAGATGTAGAGAAGGATGTCGCGTACTGGTTACTATGTCTACACACAGATGTAGAGTAGGTTAGCGGGGTACTGGTTACTATGTCTACACACAGATGTAGAATAGGATTGCGGGTACTGGTCACTATGTCTACACACAGATGTAGAGTAGGATAGCGGGTACTGGTTACTATGTCTACACACAGATGTAGAGAAGGATGTCGCGTACTGGTCACTATGTCTACACACAGATGTAGAGAAGGATAGCGGGTACTGGTTACTATGTCTACACACAGATGTAGAGTAGGATAGCGGGGTACTGGTTACTATGTCTACACACAGATGGAGAGAAGGATGACGCGTACTGGTAACTTGGTCTACACACAGAGGTAGAGGAGGACGACGGGTACTGGTTACTATGTCTACACACAGATGTAGAGTAGGATGACGGGTACTGGTCACTATGGCTACAGACAGATGAAGGGTAGGATGACGGGTACTGGTTACTATGTCTACACACAGATGTAGAGAAGGATGACGCCTACAGGTTACTGTCAATACACACTGGTGTAGAGGAGGACGACGGGTACCGGTTACTATGTCTACACACAGATGTAGAGCAGGATGACGCGTACTGGTTACGATGTCTACACAGAGATGTAGGGCAGGATGATTGGTACTAGTTGCTATGTCTACACACAGATGCAGAGCAGGATGACGGGTACTGGTCACTATGTCTACACAGAGATGTAGGGCAGGATGATTGGTACTAGTTACTATGTCTACACACAGATGTAGAGCAGGATAATGCGTACTGGTCACTATGTCTACACAGAGATGTAGAGGAGGATGACGGGTACTGGTTTCTATGTCTACACACAGATGTAGAGCAGGATAATGCGTACTGGTCACTATGTCTACACAGAGATGTAGAGCAGGATGACAGGTACTGGTTACTATGTCTACACACAGATGTAGAGCAGGATAATGCGTACTGGTCACTATGTCTACACAGAGATGTAGGGCAGGATGATTGGTACTAGTTACTATGTCTACACAGAGTCAGTTACTGATTCTATACAAATATGTTTAGTATGATGAGTGGTTTACTCACAGATGTAGAGTAGGGTGTTAGGGGTCAGACACAGGGTCTACACACAAATGCAGAGAAGGGTGCATATAAAATAGCATGACAGACACAAGCCAGTGGATCTACGCACATGTGCAGGGTAGGATGGCAGAGACAGCTCAGTCAGTCATTGGGGTCTATGACAGAGAGAAGCCAGTGGATGACATTGACTGCTCCCAGATGTACCGTAGGATGACAGACAGACAGACAGACAGACAGACAGACAGACACACAGACACACGTAGGGTAGGATGAAAGGGACGAGCTACTGGTTGTATACACACCAACATAGTGAGTGAGTGAGTGAGTGAGTGAGTGAGTGAAAATTTAACGTCGGCATCGGCATTATCTCAGCCATATAGCGACGAGACCAAGTTAATATATTTACAATTTAGTCATTAATGCAAAGTTTGTTTAAAAACAAGTTGTTAAACATATTTGAGCAGACTATATTTAGAAACAATTCATAAAACATATTTGAGCATAACAATATTATATATACAGTTTTGAAACACGGGCTATAGGCCACCAGTAACCAAAGCTAGGCCACCTCGCTGGGAATCATCGGGACTTACAGTAGTGCAATTTAGTGATATATTACAGTGAAAGTTTAATGCGGCGCAGTTCGAGTGAAGGTTCAACTGCCTCCACATACAAACTGTCCACGGGAGAGACACTAAAAGCTCCAAGACAGAGTCTTAGGCCTTGATGGTGTACGGTGTCCAATTTTTCTAAATTGCTTGTTAAGGCTCCAGTATAGACAATAGAACCATAGTCTAGTTTGGAGCGTATTAACGATCTGTACAAGTGAAGGAGGGTGGTCTGATGGCCTCCCCACTCGGAATTTAAAACGACTATTAACAACTCGAGAGCCTTCAGGCACTTTGCCTTGAGATACTCAATAGTATTGAGTGGAACAGGGCTATGGATAATGGCCTGCTTCACCAGGATAGAAGAACCTCCTGTAGCTTTATCACCAGGAGGGGAAAACAAGTGGTAAGAACTGTACTGACGGATATCAAATAGATCTGTGTTTTTTTAGATATGTTTCTCGGAGACAAAAAGCTGACGGTTTAAAATCTTGGATTAAAAGATGTATTTCATTAAAATTCTTCTCAAGACCTCTGCAATTCCATTGTATTATGTTTTGTGGATTCAAGGTGGTGCTTCCACGGGAGAAATGTCACGCGAACGTGAGGAAGACTTTGTGGTACTCCTATCGGTATCATGTGGAGATGGAGTAACCTCCATGTCCAGAGGACCAAAGGAGTTATGGACCTCTACTGGGACCTCTAAAGGAGAGGTGGCCTTTGGTGTTCTCTCAGCTGCTTCTTTTTCAATAATTTCTTTTCCCTGTTTGTTAGTTTAAATGGTTCTGGTTCAGGTGTTATTTTTGGAGTCTGAGACTCAACATGTTTGACGATTTTTGGTTTTGGGGGTGTTACAGATGAAGGTGGCAGAGCTGGTTTTTGGATTGAAGCAGTTGAAAGTGGCTGAACAGACTTGACCCATGTCAGACCAGTCTGACAGTCGATAGAGGCAGTAGTGACAGGAGGACGAGAGATGGTGGAAGTGTTTGTAGTGAGCCCTTCAACCCTCTTCTTGGCTTCGTAGTACGAGACATTTTGTTCGGTCTTAATCCTCATGATTTGGGACTCGCGTTTCCACACAGGGCAGGATTTTGAAGAAGCCATATGGTTCCCACCGCAGTTTGAACACTTCACATCCTTCCTGCAGTCAGTGGCCTCGTGATTGTCACCGCAGCGGTAACAAACAGCGGAGGCATGGCAGGACTTGCATCCATGTCCAAACGCTTGGCAGGTGTAATACCGGAGTTGAAAGGGGATATACACCTCCACTCCGATGTTACAGTAATTAGCTTTGATAGATTGAGGGATAGACGTTCGGGCGAAAGTGAAGAGGTAGGTGTTGGTTGGTTGGACCACACCATCCTTCTTGAAAGTAAACCGTCTGACAGCTGTGACCGACTGTTGTTCAAGTTCCTTGGCTAAATCGTCTTCGGACATGCCGGACAGGCAGCGAGCTCTGTCACGGACAATGCCCTTACACGAGTTCAGTGTCTTGTGCACTGAGACAACAACCTGGATATTGACAAACCCTTTTACTTCGAGAAGATTGACAGATTGAGGTCTCCGCGGACATTCTACAAGGAGAGACCCAAAACGAAGCTTTGTGACATTTGTAACCTCTCCGCAGATACCAATGATACCTTTGGAGATTGCAAATGGATTGAGTTTGTTTGGTTCTTTGTCTAAATCTTCTATAACCAAGAAACGTGGCCAATAGTCGGATCGAGTAGGCGTAGTATTTTCGTCAGTCTCTATGTGTCGTCTTTTTTAACCAGTGTGTTGGGAAGCCATGTCGAAAGGGAAATAATTCTGCACCCCATTTCACCACCCACCATGGAGTCTACAAGGACAGTGTTATGCTGCAGCGGATCTCCAAGCTGCACAGACCGGGGATAAAGGGGTGGTATACTCCAGCAAGTTTGACGCGAAAAGCTATAACTATCTACCGAATTAAGGATCAGGCTGGTTCGTCAAATGACAATTAATTGGAGACGTGCAGAATTCGGAGGTCAGCATCACCAGATTGGCCCATGAGCCACCGCCTTCTGGGCAAAGGGCTCTCAGCAAGTTTATAGATTCATACATTAAGAATAGACATTTTGAATAAATATATTTTTAAGTACCAAACGGGCCCTTTCTACCGCCCGTCTAGGCAAAGTTAGGGTCGAAGTGGTGTGTTGGACTAAGGAGCACTATTGCCGGCTCCGTCACCCTCAACCACCCTACACATGTAGGGTAGGATGACAGGGACGAGCTACTGGTTGCACGCACGCACGCACGCACACACCATGGGATTTATTTAATATCTCACATTGGGCCCTCGTGAAGACCAACCTCCCCGTGGTGAGTGCTAGGTAACGCTAATAGCTCCACACACACACACACACACACACACACACACACACACACACACACACACACACACACACACACACACACACACACACACACACACACACACACACACACACACACACACACACACACACACACACACACACACACACACACACACACACACACACATGTAGCTAGGGTAGGATGACAGGGACGAAATACTGGCGAAATATGGGTCCCTTGGAGGTCACTTGTGACCCGGACGGGACTAAACCCAAAAAAGTACGAGAATCTGTACTCTATGGAGAAAGTGTTATCCCAAATATAACATCAGTTACATTTGACCACTTTCCAAATGGCCTTATGTATTCACCAAAGTTCTTGTTATTAAAATAAAATCCCGTATATGCATACATAGAAAGGTAGTTTTATCTTATAATTATTACCTTGGAATATTGTTCACTAGGACTTTGAGTGGCAATAAATAACTGGAAATACATCTGTTGAAGTTAAAAAGGTTTTGATATCCATGCTGCAAAAAATCTGCCTTTAAATGAATATTTTGTTTACAACAAAAATTGTACTTTATGGATCATAAAAAAAATCTTTATGAATATAACGCGTAATTCGGGTTTGAGCCTATATATCAAATGGTAGTGTACTTGGGAAATGTGGCAGATGCTTAAGAGCTGTATAAGTTATATTTTAGAAAGCTAACGACTCTTCCATCAACACATTACCCAGTAAAAGCCTTTTCTATCTCGATCAAAATACAATTCACTCAAGCAATATAAAAAATGGGCAACAAATACTCTTTTCTATTTAGGCCTCGGACATGCATGGCTGTATCAGGGTGTTGGAACTGTCTTAATATATATGCCATAATTACTCCAAACAGGTGAAGTTGTTTTCAGCAAAAACAAAGAAATAGCAAATATACAAATACCTATTCTGTCTTAAAACAACAAGTTATACTCGAAGTAAATCTAATATTTGTTACAATATAATGATCCTAGTGTCGCTCAATTCAGAGGAGGTTATTCTGATCAAAAGGCACATTACAAACGTCCAACAATACCTGTACATCTTGTAACCTTCTTAATGCTTAGAAAATGAGTATTAGTTTATGTATGTGTGGAAACTCTATCTTCAATTAAGAAACAAATATAGTGTAAAGAAGTTTACATGGTATCCAAATATGAGTTTGTTCTGCATGTCATGTCAACATCAAATGTTACCTTTTTACAAAATATTGCATTGTACATAATCATGGATTGTTAGTTCAAAGAAACACGCATGCCTTGTTAAGATGTTGAACTATGCACCCGTGGCCCTTGAGAGTGTCATGAATAAACAATGCGAGTGTGGGGAATCGTTGCTGAGTCTACACACATATGTCGAGTAGTGAGGCTGGTTCAGTCACTTGGTCTATGCAGGGGCATAACACAGGATAGCAGGGACTGGTCACTGGGTCTAAACAGGAGCACTCGCAATCAGAATTACGTGTAACGTCCCTTCCCAAGGAACCTACACCACTCACGTCACATATACAACTAAACAGAACATTACTTACCAGTGAACACGTTTCTCTGGCGACATAGAACGCGATCACTCGCTTAGCGCCGCCATCTTGAATGAAGTTTCGCTTTCGCGATAACCCGTATTTACTCTAAAAAAAGAGATATTAAAAATAACAGATGATTACAGAAATACAAAGATGTATGGTTATAGATGAATAAGAAAAATCAAGGGCTAGGTGTAACATGACAATCAACAGAACAGGTTCGCGGTGTATTCTCACGGCGCAAACAACCAAGAAAGACAAGAGGGATGTGTTTGAAATTATTTGATCTATTTGGTCATACCCCTACGATTAGTCAAACACTCGTTATGCGGCATTGCCTGGCCTCAAACAATCTCACCATTTTGAGGGAGTCTTACAGTGACTGGACAGGTTCGGTTAACACAGCCGTTTGGCATTTGATGCCGGCAATATTCTTTCCTCTTCGAAATTGATGTAACTAAACTGAGGATGATCGACCAATGTGATCTGAGTGAGTGAGTGAGTTAATATTTAAAGTCACATCGGCACTATTTCAGCCATATCGAGACAAGCTATATATCACAGATGATAATTGTAAAACTAGTTTTAGAACAATAAAATAATCAGATTATAACAGACGACACAATATAAAAACGGTCTGTAGATCGCCAGCAACCAAAGTTAGGCCACCATACTAGGGACAATGGAGACTTACGGTACTTCTGCTGCCTACATGGTACCCCAGCGGGATTTACAGTATCCCTCCGGCCACTGGCGATGATCAGAAGGATTAGCCAAACAGTTAAAATCAAGTGTCGAACAAAAATAAGACCCAAGAACTTGGTCTTCTCCACAACCTTGATGGGGGCACCGTTTAACAACAGTTCCGGGTCTTGATGCGGTCTATAACGTCTACAAAAATGGATACAATTTGTCTTTGCTTTAGAAAATCTAAAACAATTTTCAAGCGACCACTTTTGGATTTTATTTAGGCAAAGCTGCAGTTGCCTTTCTATTGTGGGCATGTTTTTGCCGCGACAAGATATGTTGAAGTCATCTACAAAGAGTGACCCATCAATTAAGTCATTCAATACCTTGGAGAGACTGTTAATTTTAATGCTGAATAATGTGACAGACAAAATACTGCCTTGTGGAACACCCTCATCCTGATTGTAATGGCCAGACGGGGTTGAACTCACAAGGACTTCAAATTGTCTGTTGGTTAAAAAACTGGATATAAACTGAGGCAAACGACCTCGCAATCCAAAATAATGAAGATCTTTTCAAATGACATGCTTCCAAGTTGTATCATAAGCTTTGTCTAAATCGAACAAGATGGATACAGCATGTTGTTTATTTACAATGGAATTTTTTATGAACGATTCCAAACGCTCAAGATGATCAATGGTACTTTTATTTTTCCGGAAACCACATTGTATATCTGTTATGGTTTGGTTTGTTGTTTAACGCCGCACTCAGTAATATTCCAGCTATATGACGGCGGTCTGTAAATAATCGAATCTGGACCAGACAATCCAGTGATTAATATCATGAGCATCGATCCACGCAATTGGGATCGATGACATGCATCAACCAAGTCAGCGAGCCTGACCAACCGATCCCGTTAGTCGCCTTTTACGACAATCATAGTCACCTTTTACGGCAAGCATGGGTTGCTGAAGACCTATTCTACCCCGGATCTTCACGGGTTATATATGTAATGAGATGATTGGTTTTCAAATACCAAACTAATCGATTATTCACCATACGTTCCATAGTTTTGCAAACGCAGTTAGTGAGAGATATCGGACGGTAATTTGATGGATCTGTATGATCCCGTCCCGGTTTTGGTATAGGGACTACAATCGCATCGTGCCACGAAGGAGGAAAACTCCCTGATGTCCAAATGTCATCATATATAGTTAAAAGCGTCTGGAGACATGATTCAGGCAAGCGTTTGAAAAGCTGCTGCTGAACTTTATCAGCTCCAGTTGCAGTATCATGAGCTTGCCCAAGGGCGGTATTGAGCTCATGTAGTGAAAATACTTCATTATAGTCTTCACCATTATCAGAATTAAAATAAACCTTTTTCTTTTCCTGTTGTTGCTGAAATTTCCAAAATTTAGGGGACATAGTTGGATGATGAAGAATGCTTTGCTAAAGTTTCACCTAATTTATTTGCAATGTCAAATTTATCTGTTAATGTATCATTACCATCTTTGAGATGTTTAATGCTGGATTTAGAACCCTTGACTTTAATTCTTTGAATAATATTCCACACCTTTGATATAGGTGTGCGTAAATTGATTCTGGATAAATTATTTCTCCAAGACTGACGTTTATTTTGTTTAAAAGTTCGTCAAGCCTTTGCACTATTTATTTTTACAATATTTAAATTATGGACTGTAGGGTGTCGGCGGAAAAAAACTTTTCTGCTTTTACAATCATCGCTAAACCATGGTTTGCGAATGTGCGGGTTCACAGAGGACTTAGGAATTGTTTCATCAGCTATGTGTTTCAGTTTTTCTGAGAACATGTGAATAGGGTCTGGAATGTTTTGGTACGTTTCGGGTTTCAGTGTTTCAAAACAACGAGTTTGAAACAAGGGCCAGTTTGCTCTATTAAAATTCCACCTTGTTGAAGGTGGCTCATCAGTTGGGAGAATAGATTTTAGTATTGTGGGGAAATGATCACTTCCACATAGGTCATCATTGACAGACCAGTCAAATTCGTTTAATAAATTAGAATCTTTGAGTGACAGATCTAATGCTGAATAAGTTCCTGTTGCAGGATGGAAATATGTGTTAAAATGATTCCTAAATCCTCTACAATTCCATTGAATTATGTTGGATGATTGTGTCATGGTGGCTCAATCAGTGAACGCTCACGTACACATGAGGAGGAAGGACTCCTACTACTGCTCTGTGACGATGGGGTTACATTCATGTCAAGAGCATCAGAGGAGTTATGGATAGGTACCTCTGAAGATGCGGAATTTCTGGTTGTTTGTTTTCTATTCAGTTTTTGTCCCGTTCTGTTCTGGTCAGAGTAACGTTGAATTCAGTAGGCGCAGGTTCTACAGCCTCTGGCGTTTTAGTAGCTGGTTCAACAGTATTAGGTTTATCAGTCATAGGTTTGAGTTGAAGACGAATTGGAAGTAATCACAGATGATATGCTGACAGGTTGATCTGATGTGATCCATGTCAATTCTGTCTGAACAGAAATGGATGCTCTTGGGAGGAGTTGGAGGAGCGGAGGTAGCGACAGCAGCAGAAAAGGTTCCGGTAAGTGGACTTTGCGGACTCTGATTTTCGATCAGCTTCTTTGGCATCGTAAAAGGAGATATTTCGCTCATGCTTGAGCTTCAGGATTTTGGATTGTTTTAGCCATTCTAGGCATAGCCTGGATGAAGCCAGATGTTGTTCTTTGCAGTTCGAACATTATATTTCTGCTTTGCAGTCGGTGTTGTCGTGACTGGCATCACAGCGCTGACAAACTACTGAGTGATCACAAGATCTAGAGCCATGTCCAAACTTTTGGCACTTGAAACACCGGAGTTGACTGGGGACATATACCTCAACTCCGATGTTGAGATAACCAGCTTTAATTGACTTAGGAAGGGCTGACAGTGTAAAAGTTAGCAAATAAGTGTTGGACAGGATTATGTCTCCGTCTCATAGATTTCATGGTAAAACGCGTAACTGCTCTTTCGCCTTGAGATTGTAATTCGTCTGTAATTTCTTTCTCTGACATGTTGGACAGGCAATGAGCTCTGTCTCGAACAATGCCTCGGCAAGAATTCAAGGTTTTGTGCGCGGACACAGCAACCTTAATATTTGCAAATGTGGTTAATGACAAAAGATTGAGAGATTGCTATCTCCGTGAACACTCAACAAGAAAAGAGCTGCTACGGAGACGTGTCACATTTTCCACTTCTCCACAAATTCCAGAAACAGCTTTGGAAATGGGGAATGGATTAAGCTTTAAAGGTTGTCTATCAGCTGCCTCGATCACAACAAATCGGGCCCAGGAATCCAATCCACGAGATAATTCTTCTTCTTGATCAACATGTCGACGTTTCGAACGATTTGAACAAGGGTATTGGTGAGACATGGTGAAAGAAAGTAATTCAGCACCCCTGCTCCCCACCCACCAAGGAGTGTTACAAAGAACGGTGTTTTGGTGCACCGGATATCCAGGATGCAAACACGAAGGATACAGGGGTATTATACTCCAGCAAATATGACGCAAATAGCAATATTTGTATACCAAATAAAATGCCAGGCTGGTTCGGCCCATGACAAGAAATTGGATAGATACTGATTTGGAGGTCAACATAACATTGGCCCATGAGCCACTACCTTCTGGCATAAGACCCTGGGCAAATTGTTACAGTGATAGGTTGAGAAGTCAAGCATGTTATACACGGCCAAGTCTAAATAATACATTTATAAAAAACACGTGTGTGCGTACACAATTTTATGCACAGGGCTTGGCATGACCAGCCGACTGATAGAATCGGGCCAAGTCTACCACCTGGGGGTGAAGTTAGGGTCGAAGTGGTGTGTTGGGCAAAAGGAACACCGGTTCCTGGCTCCAGTGCCCTCAACCACCAGACTCCCTTCCTCCACCGACACAGGGGCTCAGCCACGGCAAACAGGTTGCCCAATTTTTGTTGCCTCATACGAGAAGCAATGGGGTGCTGAGGACACATTCTACCCCAGGTCGACACGGGGGAAGAGCTATTAGCGTTACCTAGCACTCACCACGGGGATGTTGCTCTTCACGTGGGCCCAATAAATGCCATGGTGTTTTATATATATATATATATGTGTGTGTGTGTGTGTGTGTGTGTGTGTGTGTGTGTGTGTGTGTGTGAGACAGAATATAAATGAAGTGGACATAATTAGAAAATATAAGGAGCTTCATCTGAAGACATATGTTTTTAGGACTGCTTTGAAACAGGCTTGACCTCCAGGGAATTGTTTCAGGCCATAGTGATTTAGTCATATATTGACAAATATATCCGCTCCAGTGCACTTTCATGTAACAGCAATCTAAACAGTACAACTTGTTTTAGTACAATCTAAACAGTACAACTTGAGAAATAACATAAGACACA